CATGTAACCTCACTGTTTAAATTTAATAAACATACCAAATTGGAGTCCTGCTTAAAGAAAGAAGCAAAAACTGAACAAAGGGTTTGGGATTCAGCTATAAAAAAATAACTCTAAGTATCCACATGTTTTTAAAGGCTTGAATTCCAGCATTTCAGGAGTGTGAACCTTGTTAGGGACTGGATATAGTATCATTCTAGTGATAAGTCTATTTGCTGCTTTTTGAAAAAGAATTTTCCACTAAAATCATGCCTGCCATATTTCCTCCATTCCTTGCTTTCCTCAAATATTTTGAAGGCACCCATCATCTTTAATATAAGCTGTGAAAGGGATGATTTGGCCCTGGGACCACATATGCAGCAGTTTCTATGACACTTCAGACAGCTGGTAGTCTGAAAAGCGCAATTTGAAAACTCTTATGTGAGCAAATAATCATGTTCTCCACTTACTAAATTAATTTAATGGGCCACATTGTAAAATTACACTGCAACCCATTCCTGGTCCTTGAGATGAAACATGCTACTCTTCAAATAATGCTGTACAGTGAAATATTTGTTCCTTGAAAGGAAAAAAAACCACATCACAGAAATATCTTAATTTAGCTGTGGTACCTGATCTTTCATATTTTTAACATAAGGACCCAGTAAAAGTGGTGATTGGGTAAATAGACATTCAGGCATATGCCTTTTAGACAAAAACTTTCAAAGTCTCATTTTCTTAATTTGAAGTGGGTGCTGGATAAAATGCATGAGGAAAGTCAGATTTTTTTGCCAACTGCAGCATAGTGGAAATCTTCTTGCATAATGAAGTGTTAACTAAGTCATGCTTTTGGAGAATGATTTAAAGTGTGATTCCAGCACCAAGAGACTCTGAAAAAAGCAGGGCACCATGGTGCCTCAGTAATTTCAGCATAGGATTTGCTGAGTTTGCAAGGAAAAAAGGTGGGAATGTTTGGTTTGGGATTCTTTCCCCTTCCTAATTTCCAGCTGCCCAAACTCCTCCTCTGAGGTTTTTTCATTTCATGCATGATTAAGTGGAATAAATTACCATCAGACTAAGTTGCTATGATTGACTATAGCTCGGTAGGAGAGAAGAAGCGATTTTAAGCTGCACCAAAGGCAAATGTGGTGGGCAATAACTGATAAAGAAAACTCTTAACCACCTCACTAGGGTTCTTTTACAAAATATAGGAGAATCAGATCTTGCAGAATAGCATAATAATGAGCTAAAACAAGCTTGTATAAAAAAGATGCATGCTGTTCCAGTTACAGGAAAACTCACTAGCAATTTTATGGATAAATTCCAGATTGTTCTATCAAACATCAGGAAAAAAAAACCAGGGAATTGAGAAACAGTTGGGTAAATAAAATTTTGATAATCAATCCTTTGCTTAGGATAGAAAATAAGAAAAGGAAGAAAGAATACACAAAAATGCCCTTTGAGTGACTTAAAGCAGGTAAAGGTGAACAATCACCTGAAGCATAACCTAAAAGAGCAGAGGATTATGGACCACAGGCACTATCTGCCCCCCATCCTGTTTAATTTGCAGAAGTGAAAAATTAAGAGGCAGTGGCCTCTTTTCCCTAGAGAGGCCACATTTAATTGTACTTACACCAAGAGACCATTATTTTGTCTAAATAGCTTTCTGCTCTTTCAACCAGAGGACTCTTAGGACTCTGGCTCTACCTGTGCCCTCCAAGGCAGCAGCAGAAGGAAATGGGTGGGGATTCTGGGGGAGAGGGCAGGAGTTGCCACTCCCAAGGAAGGGACTAATGTGAGAGATGAGAGGGGCTGGAAATTCACTGTGCACCCTCTTATTACAAATGCTGGGAAGTGATCCATGCTAGCAATAGTTTTTTCTTCATAATTTATGTGCTATGCCATGGTGTTTTGCTACAGTGGGATCCAAACTATTCCAAGTATTTTTAATTAACGAGGACCCATAAAGGAAGAATTATATATCCACGCAAGAAAATAGGACAGCAGGGAGGTTCTCATGTGAGCTAGGGCTCTGAAGAAAATGTTGCCAATAAGGCATAAGGCTGCCTGCATTTGGACTTACACAGTGCTGTAAATACTTTGAGTGACTTAAATAATATAATTTTGAAGCAAAATCAAAAGCAGAGAATTACATGGCTGTAGAAATGCTGTAGAAAAGCATATCCTCACCAAAAATGATGCCAGTGTGATAAAGTCCTCAGACCTTGATTTTTTTCTGCCTAAATTACACCTGAGCTGTTGACTAATGTCACACCCAAAGAAATTCAGGTTTGACTGATCTATTCCTTAATACCTGCTTGTTGTAGGCAAAAATAAAGTGCTATACATATCAAAACTAAATATTTTTTCCTAAATTTGAGTATTTTAATAAAAATTTAAGTAAATTTGTCATGGAAGTGGGCCATCAGGACCTAGCAGTGCCGAGGTAGAGAGCTGTCTTGGCTTTTTTGCTATGCAGGTTATTTCTGGAGATATACCCTGCCTGTAAGATTTGCTAAACTAGAAGTGCAAAAACAGTTGTAGGAGTTATCTGAGAAGGGGACAGGAGGACTTAAAACAAAGAGCTTGTGTTTTACTTTGCTTGTAAGGTAAAAACAAAGGGAAATTTGGGGATAATGTGTATTATGTATACTTTATGATAACTAAAATAAAAGGGAAGATACTTTTTTATCTGGAAAGAATAATTTTCTTAATTCAGATGCTAAATAAAATGATGATAATTTCTCCCTCAACATGGAGTACATAAATAAGTTATACAGGAATACTGATTTTGTTGTGCAGTACATTCATAAATATTAGATAAAAAAAGAATCTCAGTTACAGAAAGCAACAAAAGCTGTTGCAGTCTCTTGGGTTTTCCTTTTATTAAAATAAATTAGTAGTCTTGCTTGAATTCTTTAAAATAATTTCTATCCAGAAGTTAAACATATTTAAATAAATGGACTGAATAGATTTCCAAAGAAAGAAAGGCCCAACATTACTGTCAGATTTATGAAGAAAGTTCCTTGTTTTTGTTTTAGTAGATTAAAAAATATATTTTGAAAAAGGCACAGTTTATGTTGATTACTTGATCATAGTTTGTATGGTCAATGTATAAAAAAAATGGTTTCTAGAAAAGAGTTTGTTTTGGCAGAAACTGAAAGTTTTCACTGATGGTTTAAAAAAACAAAGATACCACAAGATTACATTTCTTAGGAACATTTAAAATATCTTTGTCATGTAGCAATAAAAAAAGTGTTATTGAAAGCTTGATCATTTAAAGAGAACTAATATAAATCCATTTTGCTCAGACTGGATATCTGAAAGGACAAGACTGAACAAGACCTTCATGCCCCTTTTTTAAAAAGGGACAAAGTAATATCCTGAAGTGTTGATTGAGCTGTGCACTCTCAGTTCTCCTTGGCTTTAAAGGTGCCCTACTCTTTGTCTGCAGTGTGTGATAAGGGAAGTGACTTCTCCTTTCTTAAACCTGTGTAAAGATCTTTGAGACTGATTTGATTTTATTTGATTTAGGGAAGCTGAGAACAGGAAATTTCTGGCACTTCCATTGTCCTTATCATGATTATTAGCAAAGGGCACTACAGAACCTCTTCATGTTGAGGAAACTCTTTGCAAAGGCCATTAATTTTGGGTGGTATAGACAAGATCTCAAAAGTTTCATGGGAATGGACAAAGCTAGAGGGGAGGGCAGACTTGGCTTCCTCTATGTTTCCACAGATTTACCAGGAGCTACATAAAACATCCTGGCTTCTGAAGTAGAAAATAATGTTTATTCCTAGGTGGGAATTACAACTCTTCAAAAGGAGACAAACAGTTCCTTTTCTCACAAAGCCTTTCAGCTAGAAATAGAAATTAAATAGAACTTAGGATTTAAAGTGTGAACTTCTTTAGCCCTTATTTATTTTCTTTACCCATATATTTTAAACCCAGTTCTAGTGTAGACATGTATTTCATAAACAGTTCTCACCATAGGAAATCATTTTGTCTGACATGGTGGATATGAAAAACACATTTCAGAGCTTACCTGCACTTTTGTCTCCTGCCAGTCAGCAGGAGCCTTCATGGGCCACTCTGGTGGGACAGTGGACAGGAACACCTCTGCTGCTTGTAGCCTCTGGTGAAGCCAGCTTTATTTGGAGATGTTCCAAAGCCTAACGAAGCCCTTTGCTCAGCACTGCTGCACCTGGAGCACTGTGAAAGCCCAGGTGGCCAAGAAGGCCAATGGCACCCTGGCCTGCATCAGCAGGTGTGGCCAGAAGGACCAGGGCAGGGATTATCCCCCGGGGTTTGGTACTGCTGAGCCTGCACCCCAAATCCTGTGCTCAGGTCTGGAGCCCTCACTACAAGAGGGACACGGAAGTGCTGGAGTGAACCCAGAGAAAGGCAATGGAGTTTGGGAAGGGCCTGGAGCAGAATTCTGATAAGGGAGTTGAGGGTGTTTAGTCTGCAGAAGAGGAGCCCCAGCAGAGCCCTTAGTGCTCTCTAAAACCACCTGAGAGGAAATTGTAGCCAGATAGGGGTTGGTCTCTTCTCCCAGGTAGCAAATGACAGGACAAGAGCAAATTGCCTCAAGCTGAGCCAGGGGAGGTTGAGATTGGATAATTAGGAGAAATATGTTATCAAGCTGTGGAACAGGCTGTGTGGTTAAGTGGCAGAGTCACCATCCCTGGAAGCATGCGTAACCCATATACAACCCATTTGCTTTCGCGGTTTAGATGTGGCACTTGGGGACGTGGCCTAGTGGTGGGCTCGGCAGTGCTGGGTTGGCGGCTGGACTCGATGATCTTTAAGCCCTAAAGGCCCTTTCTGGGCCGCAGCACTCCGTGACGGGGCGTGAACCCCGCTCAGGGACCGGCGCCAGGCCGCAGTGCAGCTGTGGTGCCGCCAGGCGGCGCCAGCGCGGGCGGCGCCGCTGCGGTGCCGCGCTCCGCACGGCAGGCGGCGCCGGCGAGCGCTCGATTGAAAAACACCCATTTTTGCTGGAACTTTTTTCCAATGTACAGATGGAGACATGATGCACAGGTTTTGCCATGGCAGAGTTTGCTGAGAGTGGGATATCCTGGGAACCCAGATACCTGAGCTATTCCTGCCTGCAGTCGCCACCCTGTGGGTTTCCCTCAGAAACCAAACTGAAGCAGGGAATTTAAAATGTCATTTCCAGTTATTGGCTCCTGTGACACTGTGCAGACAATCCCTATGAGTGCTGCTGCTGGGGGAAACCACAGCCCTGGCCAGAGATAGGACACAACAGCAAAGATCTCATCTGTCACCCACAGGCTGCAGAGTCTCAGCAGGACTTGGCTGGTACTCGTGCTTTGTGCTCTTCTTCATGGAGCTGGCACTCACAGTGGCTTTTGAAGGAAAGGGAAATACTCACGAATATGAATCAGTGCAGTAGGAATTGCAATGCTGCTTCTTTAACTGGCATGAGGGTCATGTTTCGTGATTTATTTCTGTACCAGAGGCCAAGGTTATATTTAAAGTGCCCTTTGTATGCTTGCTGGGATTGAGGCAGGCAGATGAGCAGACACAGGTCTCAGAAGAACTGCTGATTTCAGAGCTGGTCCTGAGGATGAACAGCAAGATACAAAAGCAATTTTGTCAGTGAGCAATGCATTTACACAGATATATTGCATTTCCAGTGGAGCAGGTGGTGACTGCCCTGTGCAGACAGGGACACAAGGGAATAACTGTGTGGGGAGACAGATTTTTGCCCATGCAATGATTTGGGAAAAGGGGAATTAGAATAACTTTGCAGCTCACCTGCCATCTCACCCCCAGCTTTTACTGTTGCCCAAGATGTCTGTGAGAATTTTGGTAGGAAGGGACATGATGAAAAGCCGTTGTGGTCCTGCATTTGTAATTCTGTGTTATGGTTTAATCCCAGCCAGCACTTCAGTCCCACAAAGCCACTCAATCACTCCTCTTCCCTGGTTAAAGAGGGAGAGCATCATAAGACTAAAAGTGAGAAAACACACAGGTTAAGAGAAAGACAGCTTAATAGGTAAAGCAAAAGCTCCACACACCAGCAAAGGAAAAGCAGGAATTCAGTCACTACTTCCCATGGGCAGGTGTTCAGCCAGCCCCAGGAGAGCAGGTTACTTGGGAGGACAAACACCATCACTCTGAATGTGCTTCCCTTCTGCCCTTCCCCCTCACCTTTACATGCTGAGCATGACCCCATATGTTGTGGGATGTCCCTTGGGTCACTAGGGTTGGCTGTCCTGGCTGTGTCCCCTCCCAGCTCCTTGTGCACCCCCAGCCCCCACTGCTGGGGTGGGGGGAGAGGCACAAAAGGCCTTGGCTCTGTGTAAGCCCTGACAGCAATAACAAAAACATCCCTGTGTTCCAAACACTATTTCCAGCACAAATCCAAAACACAGCTCATGCCAGCTACTGAGGAGAAAAGTAAATCTACCCCAGCCAAAACCAGCACAGCCTGGTTCTGTGAGAGAGCCCAGTTACTAAAAAGGACATACAAGGAGGTCCCCTAACCACCATGTCCTCCTAACCAGTCCTTTTCCTTTAGCATCCAAGAGAGACACAATCTTCACCCAGCAAGGCTGCAAATAAAACCAAATGGGTTTTATTTATTTACCTCAAAATCTCCACAGCTGTGTACTCATTCCAGATAAACACCTACACAGCATGAGAGACAGGTTTTCTTGGTGTCAGGCAATTAAACCTTTATCAAGGTTTAAGCAGAAACACCAGGTTACAAATCATTGTCATCAAACATTGCTGGAGGTTATGTTTGCCTGAATCTTTTCCACAGCTTACTACCTGTGTCTTTCTGGAATATACTCTTTTAGATTTGTCAGAGAGTAACACAGAACTTGAATTCAGGTATATGAATGAGTCTTAAAATACTGGAAATAACATTGTGAACATTTGTTAAAGCTGCTTGTGCCTTCATTTATTGGCTGTTGTATTCACTTGAGCCTGTGTCATGTTATAGAGAAGTATGCACAGATGTAAAGCTGTCAGAGGTGTCACACTTAACTGCTTTGGACTCCAAAGAGCCTAAGGGTCTGTCCTGTCAGCTGGATTGTGCACCTGTAACTGACACCCACCTGCCCAATTTATACATGTTGGGAAGGTGCCCAGTGAGGAGCTGGGGCACCTGCCAGGTCACTGATTTCTGACTGTCACAGGCTGAGGTCTGTGAAATTTGACTTTGCTGTGCTACACAATTACTTAAATGCATTACCTGCCCTTTGAGGCAAACAAATCAAATTTGCTGCTGCCGCTGTACACTGTCTTGTACTGGGCACTGTGCCTTTTATTTATTCCAGCCTTACACCATCAAAGCTTTAACTGAAAGAAGATGTAAAACAGAAGGCAACAAACTGTCTGCATTAAGTGACATTTTACTATGCAGGTCATGCTGGATGGAGTCCAGTTTATCTCTTCTCTGTTGCACATAGTCAGGTCTTTTAGAAAGGAGAATATTTTGCATGGCTTTATCAAACATTTTGAATGTAGTTCATGCAAAGGTCAAGTGTTCCTATGTGGTCAGTAAGTGATAAGCTATGTTTAAAATGCATCAGTTAAAAGACAGTCTAAAGGTGCTGCTTTTCCAAAGGGAAAGGATGCTCCCCTCCAGCTCTGCAGTTTGGGCCCGGATGTAAAGCAGCATTTTGGAAAGGATGCACTCTAGCATCTCATTGGCTGTTCACACTGTGATTTAGGGTTAACAGCTGTTAAGACAGAAGCAGCACGTACATGTTTTTGTGTGTTGCAAGGGCATTTAAAACCAGACCTTGTAAATCTGCAAACAACAGTGGTGTTGGCAACACACTGTGCTCTGTGCAAGGCAGAACTCTGGCCAGCCATAGCTGGAGCATGATGATCACAGGGAGGAAGGGAATGGGGCCAGAGAAGGGAGAGATTCAACAATTAGATGTGCTCTCACAAAGCATTTTTCTGGTTCTGTGCTACAGGAAAAATCTTTTTCTTTGCAGCACCAAGCATAAAATATGTTTTTGCTTATTTCAATATATGTATCAAAAAGCATTGGAAAAACAGTCATTTCACAGGGGTGTAGAAAAGGATGAGAAAACGAATACAGACTGGGAGCAACCTGAAACGCAAAATGAGAGAGAGAAAACAAAATCATGCACAGATGGCACTGTGTAAAGTGACTCACCTGAAAGGCAAAAGGCTGAACAGCTCACAAGAGTCTTAAGGAGCAGAGACCAAAGGCACGTGGAGTCAGGACCCATGAGAACTTGTGAGGGAACACTTCCCATCTGATGGGATAACCTTACGTGTTTTCATTCAGGACTACAGCTGGGCCAGGCTCACCCAGGGTTAGAATACAGTAGGTGACAGACTGAATCAGGATGTGCCTACCTGCTCAAAATTACCATTTCCTTAGCTAGGTGCAAAAACCAGGTAGGCTCTGCCACCTCCTATCACAGTGAAGCCAAGAATTAAGGCCATTCTTCATTTTAGTTTTCATCAATATTTACTATAATTTCTTTCAAAACAATTATTTTAAAAATAGCCTTCTGAATTACCCTCCACTTGATTTTGAAAACATTCAAATAACATTCCTAAAGATCATCCTAGGTAGTTAATCCTGCTCAGGTGGTTTAAGCACAGTGTGACATTTAACAACGTAACTATCATACCTCCACCCTGTGAACAAAGCTAAATGCAAACATTATTTCTTTCCTCTCCCTGTACTGAGTTGTCCTGAGAACTAAGCAGGTTTTTCCTTCAAATGCTGATAATAAAATTTGTGTTATTCAATCAGCACAAACGTCGAGTTTTGAAATAATCACAAATGGAAGAAGATGACAGCAGCAAATATTCTGCAAGTGCAGAATCACAGCACCCCAGATTCCCAGTGCCTGTAATGGGCCTGTACAAAAGGTAAAAGGCAGAAAAAAGCAAAGCAGCTCAGATGACACACAGAGTATGTTTCTACATGATATTCTCATGCCAAAACCGAAGATTACACACATCTGAAGTTCCATTCAATGCTGGACATGATTTTGAATGTGTCCGTCTTCCAGTGGAACCAGTGCCATCCATGCTAAGTCAACATGAGGATTCTCCAAAATTTCCGTATGCTATGGGTCAGGACCTGCAAGTTCCCAGGCTCACCTGTAAACACAAGATTTCATGAAATTGTTTGCATTTCAAAATGATGCTTGAGGATTCCAATTTTCATGTGGGCCCTGGTTTTTCTGGTTTTATACAAACGTAATTTAATTTGAATATTTCTTCAGTTTTGGTCTTGCAGAAGTGGCATGGATTTACAACACTGAATGCTTATTATCCTATTCTTATTTGCTCTTAAGATAAAGCAATAACCCTTTCCATAACAGCAGGCAATGGTTGGACTAACAACTGGTAAGCAAAGATGAGTAGGAAATAAAAAGGAAAAGGAAATAAAAGCTGCCAGTAAGTACAATAATGCCACACACTGAGTCACACAGAGCTGTCTTCTGCACAATTTCTACTTTGAGGAATTTGTGCTGATTTCTGTCTTCAAACCCATGAATACAAAGTAGCAACTGCTTTCTGAAAACACTCTCTTTTTCTGTGTCAGTTCTAGAAAAGCCTTTCTCTTGAGAGTTCCAGAATGAAAAGCATGGCCAAGTAAGAATCTACTCCTACACATCAGGCTTACCTAAAGAAACAAGTGTGAGAATCTCTTAAAGAATGCTTTACATCAATTACCTCACTACACCAGCCCTATTTTCCAAGTCTGCCCCCAGAGACCCCAGCACTGCCGGGCCATCCGATGAGGTTCCCACAGGGCTGACGACAAACACCAGGCAAGTGCCCTCCATTCTGATCACTTTAGCACATTTCCCCTGAGCAGCATTTGTTTTCTTGAAGATGCTCAGCTGAGTTCTGCTAAAGCTGCCTTAAATCCCAGATGTCCATAGCAAATAAGGAAGCCAATCCAAATCAGAATGAATACATAAGTGGAAAGTTTTGGAGAAGAGCAGGAGATGTTCTTTACATTAATGATGCCTCCAGGATTCTCCATCATTAATGGCTTTACATCCTTATTGATCCTAAATGCTGGATATGGGGTCGAAGGATAAATTATGTGATGCCCCAGACAGCTGAGATGTAAAACAAAAAATAAAAGAATGCAGGCTGTGCAGCTAAGAGCTGTGCTTCCTTTCTCTTTTAATGGGGAACCACAAGTCACAAGAATTGTCTTGTGGTGGGGGGTGAAGCATAGACAAATGAGAAATAACCCCCCCATTCCTCGGGGCTGTTGGATAACACAGCCAATGTGAGCATGGCCAGCTCCTCCACCCCTCTGGATGCCTCTGCCAGCTCACCACCAAGAGGTGTGTCCTTGCTCGTCTGCAAAAAATCCTGGCAGGCAGCAAGCTTCCCTCTGAGCTGCGGGCTGCTGGGCAGTGAGGAGCTGCACATGACCCAGCAGTGTTGGAAATGAGTGCCTTTAATATTGCAAGGCTGGTCCGAGTCCAGCAGGATACTTAATAGCATGGATTGATCTCTAAAGAAGAGTGGTTGCCAAGGAAACCACTAAAAATCCTGCTTTAAAATATTTGCTATATATTCAAAAGCCACAATCATTTCCTGCTGTCAAATTACAACAGCTCTTCAAAAATCATTAGGAATATTCTTTAATCATCAAGGCAGAAATAGCCACGTGGTTCTTCTCAGCAGGCAGATGACTGAATTCTGATCTGGAATATTATCTTTGTAAAACCGAAGCTATGATACTGAAACAAAATCAGCTGTGCTGTTGTGCAACCATCCCAAAAATCAGATCTTTCATATACAAATAATACAAAGTTATCATGTGTGGCATCCTCATATTTTGAAGTATCACAACTTCTAACTTATGATACTTCCTAATAAAATCATACAATCATTTAGGTTGGAAAAGTTCAAGGAGAAATTCAATTTACACAGCTAACATGCTGTAATTGGAGAACGCCGAAGGCACAATGTGAAGGGATAGGAACATTCTGCTCTAACTCACTTTTCCCTGCACTTCAGAAGGCATATTCTTCACTAGGGGCACAAAAAGCTCAGCCAAACATTTTTTTTTTTTCTGTTTCCAAATAAACTGCTTGAATACTCCAAAACCATTTGAAGTCAGGATAAACAATTCAACCATTTTCTTTTACTTTAGGAAACTCAGTGTGTTGGGTTAGTTAACTTTCTCATAGTAGCTCTCAGTGCTGTGGTTTCTGTTTGTAGCTGGAGTGGTGTTGAAAGCACAACAGTGCTTTGGCCACTGCTGAGCAGTGGTGGTACTGCTCACTGAGGAGGGGGAGTGACAATGATTCACTAGGTGGCTGCTCAGGGTCAACCCACCACGCTGGGGATCACCAAGGAATGAGAGCTGACTTTGATTTTAATGACAACAGCCAGTCCCCTAGGCATGCTCTTGATCTGACCTTCCCAGCATAGTGCTGAGATACAGGAGTTTATTTTCCATCTTCACCAGGATAGAAGAAGCCATGTCATCTGAATTGAGAGGAATCCCGTGGATTCCCATGGATATATATTTGACTCCTGCCTTTTCTGCAAGTGAGAACTGGTTCAGAGCCTGCAGGTTGATCTGGGCAGACCTGGGAATGTGCTTAACCTACACCACAGCCCTTCTGTTTCAGAATGCCTTCTGTCTCTGTGTAAATCACAAGTCCCAGATCAAGTAGAAACTTATTGAGTAGGATAACCAGAGGGAACAGGACTACCATATCCCAAAGTCTGAGCACAGAAGGTTTGTCACATCACCCATAAAACTGTAGAGCATGAGCTTGAGAATTAAATGTTGCATATCATTTGAGCAGTGCCAAAACCAATATTTTTTTATTTCTTGTTTCTAAACAGAATGCCCATTAGCTTGCTTAGTCATGTTTCAGTGTTAACACTGTGATTATTTACGCAAGGGCAATACCAGGCAAGAGTGCCAAAAAGCACATTTTTCTGGAAGTAAAAAGCTGGTTTTTACCCACACCCTGAGGACCATGTGCAGCCCTTGTCAGCAGGGAGAAGTGTGCCTGCTCCACCAGGGCTGGGGCTAAGGGGGATGGTGAGGCAGGCAGGGACCTCCCCGACAGCTCCATGGCACCTAAGGAGAGCCAGGCCACTGGGGACAGCAACAGGGATCAGCTGCACTCCAGGGACCACCGAGCCTGACCACAGAGACCAGCCAGCTTTGAGGTCAAGACAGAGGATCCATCAGCCAGGGAAGCACAGGATCAGTGAGGTACAAGGCCAGGCATGGGCACACCCACAGCATGGCTAAGGCAAGGGTCTGAACTTAAATTTGGCTCCTGATCCAGGGAAAAGATATCCCAAATAAGCTCTCCTGCAGATCTTTTCTCATCACCAATGTCCACACTGAGAGCTGGAGTATCCAGAGCTGGAGTGTCCATGAGCACAGGCAGTCAAATGGCCATGGCAGGGGTGACACAGGAGCTCACCTGATGTTGAAGAGCTGCCTTTGAAAAGTACTGTGAGAAATTATAGCTGTTGCCAGTTATTTGAACGTTGATGTTAATGTTCCTGTCCTCCAAGTGTTATCAGAGGCCCCTCAAGTACCAAATGCTGCACTGCAGCCCATCCTGCCTGCCCTGTGCCCTGACCTGTTCCTCTGTGTGTTCCTGCCATTGTGCCCTGGCCTTGTCTTCAAGCCTTCTGCCTTCTCACAAAGCTATTCTTATGCTTACTGCCTCATTTTTTCCTGCTGCCTCTCCAGATGCCTCCCACTTGCCTTCCAAAGCCTAGTAAAGATAAGAGCAGTTCTACTGCACATAAGGGCTCAACAAGAAACATTTGCCATTTCCATGCTGGCCTTTCACTGCCAACTCAATGGGGCAGAAACTGTCTCCCAGCACTTGTGCCTCCATATAGTGTAGGACCCTAACACTTCTGAGAAGACCCCACTGGTGCTACTCTGTAAATCTGTTTTACAGGTAATATGCTGGTTTTGTTCTCAGGAATTCACTGTGCTAGCTTGGATACACTCCTGTATGAATCCTTTGTGCTCAGGAGAACTGCTGCTCTCTGCCCAGTGCCAGGAGAGTTGGCAGGAGAGCTTTGTTCTTCCTGTCTCACTGAGGACAAATGGGAACCAGAGAACAACCTGCAGTGACAGATGATACTGCTGCTATCCTCCAAAGACTCACAGGATCAAATTCCATTCTAGATGCTGAGTAGGACACCACACATCTGGAAACCAGAACAATCTGGTACGTGCTACCATGTTCATCTAACCCCTTCTTGTACAAGTACAGCTGTACAGTGAGAGGTCTGAGAGGTTTTATTGCTGCTTTTCTGGTCAGGTTTTGCAGCAACCAAAAACCTCACTCCAACAAAACGAAAGCTTCTTTTCCTCGAAAATATATAGGACAAACTTGACAGCGATGTCCTTAACCTCCTTTGGAAATTGTCTTGGCTCTCACTCTTCTCTCAGGTGTCTGTTTTCGAGTACTCTAGTCTCCAGCAGACAGCACGAGGAGGGAATGGAAGGCGTGTTTCAAAGACTTTTGTAATCAGAGCCATCTGATTTGCTAAATTGCATCAAAGGTCAGAGACTGGCAGTAGCACAGCGTGGAGCAAACGTTCCCTTTAAAATCCTCATCGGGCGTGGGTCACGTCAGGAGGCAGCAGGGCTTTGCTCATGGAAACAGCCGCCTGGGAGCAGCGCACACAGCTGTGTTTAAATCTTTGGGATGTTTGTTGCACTGGGGCATCACTGCTGCTTCCAGAGGCCTCTTGGGCAGCAGCTGCGGCACGGCCTGGCTGTGCTGGCGCTCGGGCTTGCACCTGCCGAGTGCAGCCTGACAGGGGCTGTAGCCATCGGGGGTCGGGCTCTTCTCCCAGCTCGGGACGAGGGGACACGGCCTAAAGCTGCGCCAGGGGAGGGCTAGGCTGGACCTGTGCAGGCCAGGAGTGGGTCTCTCCAACTCAGTAAATTCCGTGGTTCTGTGAAATTAGGGGGAATTCCATCACAGAAAGGGTAATCAGACATTGGAATGGGCTGCCCGGGGAGATGATGGAGCCACCCTCTCTGGATGTGTTCAAGGAAAGACTGGGTATGGTTGATCTCTGCGGTCTTTTCCAGCCTAAGCGATCCTGTGAAACCGGAGCTGTGCAGGGTCACCGCGGCCACAGCCACGGCCGTGCCCCGGCTGCTGGCGCGGCCCCAGGCCCGTGGGAGGGGCCGGGCGCGGCGGGGCCGCGCCGCAGCTCGGCCGGGGAGGCGCCGCTCTCGCACCGCTGAGGCGCTGCCGCCGCCGGGCCCGGGGAGGAGGTAAGGGCCGCCTGCCCGGGGCGGGGGCCGGGGGCGAGGGAGGGTGAGGGGCCGCGCTCGCAAGCGTCGCCTTCTTTTGCCCCTTCCGCTGGCTCCGCTCTCCCTTCTCCTTCAGCCGGGCGGGAAGGGCCGCGGCGGGGCTGGGAATGTCAGGGAGCGGGGCCGGCACATCACGGAGCGGGGCTGGGCACGGCTGGCGCTCCGCAGGGGCTGCCGCTGCACGCCGCAGCTCTGACACGCACGGAATAAACGCGGTCTGTGCTAATTCGTGATACGCAGGCTGCAGCAGCCTTTCCTTGTCTTTAAATTGCTGCTGTCCGTGTCCGGTTTGCTGTCCAGGCAGCAGACTAGATTGTCACGGATGATTTTAAAAAAATAAAACCAAACAGCAAAACAACAGCGCACCTGCTTTTTGGCGAGCTTAACACCCAGAACGGTGCGGTCCTGCCCACATCCGTGGGGCTGGGAAGGCACGCCGGGCAAGTGCACTTGGAGCTGTGCATTCCTTTTGACATACGTCGGATCCCCCGGGGCAGCAGGCATGCCTTCGCTGTCTTCCGGGTTTCCTTTGCTTCCCCTTTTCTTCTGGAAAATTTCCATCTTTCGAGCAGCAGGCAGTCTGTAAAACTACAGTTTTAATCACCTCATCCCGCTCTAAGTGCTGTGTTTCCCTGGCTGTCTGTAGGAGCTGTTTCCCTCCAGGACAACGTGTACAGATGAACAGGGTCAGATGGAGCACCTCAAAGCAGATTTCTGTCTAGAACTGTCCATCTTGGACTTTGTCTCTAGCACCAGTGCCCCCCTTTTCTTTACCTCAGTCTTCTTTTGTCTGCCCAGTGTTTGCAGGCATATCAGCTGGGAAAGCACAGACTGTTTCGTGTCCAGAGCTGTTTACATAACAAACTAAAGAGCAGGTTCCTACTTCTGACTTCCAGAGACATTTGGAAGGCAAAACTATCTCACTATTTTTACTTGCCTGGTGAGAGTCGAATTTGATAGGGAACAAATGCATTAATTAGCTTGTGAGTTCGGATTGATCCTCTGATTCATGCTGTGGATACTGGGTAGTCTAAATATAGCGAGAATTTCATGTTCTCTTCTCAAGCTGACAGAAGTGAAAGCGAGTGTGGGTTTTGCTAATTGACAGGCTTTTAGTTTGGTCCTGCTGTGTTTCACAGAAGGAAGTTAACCTGCTGCTGTTACAAGTCAAGGATAGCATGAAAGAAAAAGCAGCTGCAGAAAGCAAACCAGGTTTTAAATACCTGTAAGTATGCTAAAATAAGGGTGTGATATTGCAATCACCCTGCAGTAAAATGGAAAATCTAAAGATTTCAAGTAGTTCATATTTGGCTGGTGCAACAACAGTGATTTCCAGAACATTCAGCCTTTTATCAAGTCAACAGTTAACCTCCAAGTGCTAAGTAAAGAAACCTTTCCTCTTTTCATGCAACCTAAGAATTGCATGAAAGGTAAACCCACAGCATCTGAAGCAACATTCTTTGAGCTGGGAACAACATGTTTATTGAAGGCCTTCTGAAAGCTCTGTCACTGCCATTTTCTACTAAAGCAACCCATTACTAATTTACCTTCGATTGCATGTTTTTTGTGAGTATACAGATTTTTATCTAGCAACTTAAAAACATAGTTTTAACAAATATTTCAGATGTAGGGATGCAGTTGTGATTGGCTTGAGCAGAGGACAACAGCAAGGCACTCCAGCCCAGAATTAGTGTCTCTGGGGTACAAGTGTTGCTCTTTGCTGCTCAATTACGTCACCCTACTGTCTTTTTTTTTTTTTTTCATTCACCGTAAGTCTGGGTTTATTTAGACCTTTTGTTGTCATATAATACTCCTCACTCATAATTTTGCCCTTAGCAAACTTTGAGTAATTAAGTTAGAAATTCCTCACTGGGCTTATACCTTTAGTGTGGTTAGTTACAGTGATCTGTGTGGTCCAGTTCAAATTAGTCCATTGCAACAACATGTAATTATTACAAACTGCATCCTTGGACTTGGGTGAAGTTGGGTGTTACTCTACAAAAGATCAAATAATCCAATCTTTCTACACTTTTCAGCATGCTAGGTGAGTCATCATTAGTGAATTTTCATCTATGCTGAGCCAAGTGGTTTGTTTGAATTTATCTGGACTGGAAAAGAGATGTGAGAAGCCAGTGGAAGACCTTGTCTTCCAGTGTTAGCCCATTTCAGGGTTAGGTGGCAGAGAATTTCAAGCCAGACAAAACAGCAAATAGCTGCATGGGCTTTTTTGAGGGGGAAGTTTGTGTGTACAGTTGTGGATGTCCATGGAAATACTCTTAGTAGTCATTATTAGAATTTAAAAAAAATCACAATTAACTTAACAGCTCTGTGTTAAAAAGTATTGTTCACGATGTCCATAAATGTGTCAGAAACAAATATCACATGCAGATAAATTTAAAATCTAAGCATGTATATTTTTCCTCCCTTCCCTCTGGGAGTCACAGTGCAGATAACTCAGCTGGCGTTTGCAGAGCATGCGTGATAAGCTCATTTTCTCCACCTTGTCTCATATTTCCACATATTCATATTTTAGTATTATCATCATACCCATTTGCTCCATCTCAGCCCCTTCAGCCTTTGAAAACCCGGGATGTCATTCTGCAAGGGGCCAGCAGAAGTGCCTCCCTGGCTCTCTGTGTATGTGGGCTGCTCTGGGGTGGGATAGTTTCCCGGTGAGTCACCAGATCCCGCTGCAGTCGCTTCCAGGGAGGGCTGTGCTCCGCATGATTAGCGGGCTCTCAGGGTGACATTGTTTCCTGAATGATGCAACTGAAAATTCCCTTTCCTGCGCTTCTTGTTCCCTGATCCATTTTCCCTCATTCTCTAAGACATTCCAGCAGCTGCGCATCTTTTGCTCCTGGTCTCCTTTCCCCTACGAACCTCCGCGAAGACAAGTTATGTCCACAGCTACTCTGATTAATCTGGTACGGAACGGAGGGTTCCAAGTGAGAAGGAGAGCCGCGCTCACGTCCCGCTTCCTGCAGGACGAGAAGCGCCCGGCCGCCGCCTGCTCCCTCTCCACCTGCGAGCGCCGCGCCTCCCGCTTCGACCCCGACGGCAGCGGGCGCCCGACCACATGGGACACCTTCGGCATCTGGGACAACCGCATCGATGAGCCCATTCTCCTCCCACCCAGCATAAAGTACGGCAAGCCCATCCCAAAGGTGAGCCTGAGCAACGTGGGCTGCGCCAGCCACATCGGGAAGCGAAAGGAAAATGAGGACCGGTTCGATTACGCTCAGCTGACAGAGGATATCCTGTACTTCGCAGTGTACGATGGGCACGGCGGGGCAGCAGCTGCAGACTTCTGTCATAAGTACATGGAAAAATATATCAAGTAAGTGCTCATCAAGGCAATGTGTGTCAAATAAGTTACAGCCGAGATTCCTTCTTTAGGGAATCAATGGGTTGTACATGGTTATGTAGTTGCCTGTCCTTATGGGACAGCAGGAGCACTGGGTGGAACAGATATGCTGTGAATTACTTAATACATTGGTGCCTGCCCCACTGGGCAAGCCCAAAACCCCAGGAGATGAGAGCACGATTGTGCCCCCTGTCCAGGAAAGGTCTTGGAACACAGGGAGAATATGGACTAGCTGTTTTCACACAGGCTCTCTGTAATTGCTTACACTCTTCTGTATCTATCATATCCCTGGATGCTGGATAAGGAACTTAGATATTTGCAAAATTACATGGTTATGCTTTCAGTGCACGCAGTTAGTAAAATCACATTACCTTTCCACTCAGGAAATTTCCCAGGTAATTTCCCAGCATCATTCAGTGGGTGCAGGGAGGAGATAAGACTGCAAAACAGATTGATCAGCATGTATATTGCTTGGAAAGAAGTTTAATTTCTTTGTTTACTTGCTTGCTTCCAGGGAATTTCTTGCTGAGGAAGAGAACTTGGAAAATGTTTTGAGCAAAGCTTTTCTAGAAATAGACAAAGCATATGAAAGGCATGCTAATCTCTCTGCTGATGGTAGGTAAAAAAAATATTCATATAGGTGTGGAGAATAAAGTTTGTTAATTTGCTCAGTAGTTTTGCAGTAAAATGTCCAGAAAACTGCTTGAAAACAATTTTACTTAACACAGGATTTTGCTCTGGTCACTTACTGCAAATAAAACAATTATGCTTTACCTCTGAAAAATGAAATAACTACTGTAAGTCTCAATCAAATTTACTGGAGGAGTTATGAATGTTGGCATAATCATCAATTAATTTCTCTTAATGTGATTCTAAAAAGGATTATGTTTGTCAAGGTAGCAAAGAGTGATTTAGATTTGCAAGGACCATAATTTTACTGGTAAGAAATGTGGAGAGGGGTGGTTTTGATTCACTTTTTTTTTTTAATTTTAGGGGTGTGGGGGTGGGTGCTTTTGTATGTTTGCTTTTTAAAGCTGTTAGTCCTGTGGATTAAAAGCAACGGTGTCAAAGTTCCCCTTCCTAACTTGGCTGCTGCACGTGAGGAGGAACATAAGCCAAAATTAATGCAATCAATATTGCTTCTGTACAAACAGAATCACAGGAGTAGCTGAGTGGGAAAGGGAAAAAAGCAGTGAAGAGGAAAACAAGTTTGGCCGTGGTAAGGCTGTGGTAAAGCTGGTACCAGCTCTTTTAGACTCCCATTTAATCCTGGCTGTTATTGAAGTTCTTGTATATGTGTCTAGAGACTAAGTACATCTGAAGTTCCAGTTGCAGCAAGCAGAGCTTATAGAGACTAACTTAGGAAGGGAGATGGAAGTGCCTGTCCCAGTTCTGTCACAGGAGCTCTCTCTCAGCCATGAGATACAATTTTGAGAGTCAGTTTAGCCAGTTTTAAAAGAAAACCCCAAAATTTAAAAAAAAATAAATTAAAAAAACCCCAAGAAACACCTACCCATGACAGAAAAAGGAACAAACAAAAACCTGTCCCCATGCTAGTGCAGGCACAGGCAAAATAAGTGAGGTTGTACCAGAAGAACAGAAACCGTAAAAGTTTTCTCTCCAAGAAAGACTGGAAACCAAGAAAGCCTGTATGGACTGAAGTGATACTGTGTTCTCAAGCTGCTTTTCTGAGGCACTGGTTGAGAACAATCAAGTAATGGAGTAGCTTTCTGCACTTTAATTGCTAGATGAACCTAGGTAAGCTCAAATGCAGGTCAGGTAGCTTGACTGCTGCAACACTGCCTCTTACTTTAGCCTGCACCAAGGATCAGGAAAAAAGTCTTAAGTTCTGAATGCAGCCCTTAAAAAAGGAGGATTGAATCTATAAAGGTAATTTTCCCATTGCATTTCATGTTGTAAAAAAGACCAGAGTTACTTTTGACCTGTGAGCTGAGTTTGAGCTGGGCTCTTGAGAGACATCAGCAGAACAGATGTGCTTTTTATCCCAGAGCCTCTTTGCAAATGTATTTCCTTACCAACCCAAATCTAAGACAGCACTTGAGTACAAGTTTGTGTGCTTCCCCAGATCAGACCATTTAATTTTCAGATCTAACTGTCCCTTTTCCTGCCCCTTTGTCAGTAAGACATCTCTGGTTTTGGCTCATTGTAGTGCCCTCTGTGCCAGAGCAGCTCCTTGAGGAGAAGGATTGAGAACTATACTGGATGTATTATTCTGTTTTTTCTGAAAACTATTTCCAGTCATAAAGCTTTGTAGGTGAGACTTACAGAATTGGATAACAACAGCATTTGGCAAATTGTGCAGCAAGCAGAGCATTTTGGAACTGCTTATAGGATTTTTTTCATACCGTTTAACTAACTGGTGCTGCTTAATGCCAGAAAAGAAAACGTATGCAATGGTTACCAGGATACTGCACAAGCCCCCTTCATTAAAAAAGCAAAACAGAGGGTAAAAGAGTTGCCAAACATCCACAGGAGCCACGCTCTGGCAGGCACTCAGTGTTTGTCAGGTAGGCTGAACACTTGCAAGCTCTTGCAGGAACCTGGGGGATCTAAGAGAGCCCATTGTTCTTGGCTGAAAATCAAGCTCCAAGGCAAAGAATGGAGTAACAGGGTGCAAAGTCAAGTTTGGATTTCTGAACAGATTAAACTTCTTGCGTATCTGTTGTTAAAATAACTCAATACTTTGTTGACTGCTTTGTGTGGATATTTTTGTTGTTGCTGATGTTTTGAAAGTTACAAAATTATAAAATTTCAGTGCTTGGCATGTGTCTTTGTTAGAAGCCAGCAAAATTTCTGATTAAGTGTGGCTATTCTGGATGTGACAGTCAAGACTGTTGCTAGAGTATCTTGAAATTGGTGTTGATTGTGTAACTTGGTGTATCTGGTTTACACTGGATGCTCCCCAAGTCTGACCTGCTTTTGAAACCTGGCCATAGCTGATGTAGTGCAAAATAATAGCTTTGGCTTGTTCAAGCAGATGACCCTTCCAGGGCTCACCCTCTTCACTGTGTCTGCAAAAAACCAGTGCACATTCAGGATGTCCAGGTCTTTACTAACACACAGCCAGCTTTAAAACTTGTACCTGGGTGTTTGAAGGAAACTAAACCCTGGGACAAATCCCTGTAGCCAAAATGTCACATTTGAGGCATTGTTTATAGTACTATTTAAGGGGTAAAGTCTTACATAAGGCACAAATTTAACAGGACTAGAGACATGCCTTCTTGGGAGAGCCCAGCTATGTCCTCAAGGGCATGTCCCTCGGTAGGTCACTTAACAATGAAACAGTATTTGAAAATAGAGATGCAAAATACATAGCATGGTAGTTCCTGTGGGCTTTCCATAATAAAAATGGTTTATGTGTGTGTTCCAGGTACTGCTGCTGTGTCTGGCAAGCAGCTCACCAGGGCTGTTGCCAGCAGTATTGGCCTGCTGGGGCCTGCTCCAGTAACCCCTCTGACACTGACCTGTACCTGTTGTTTCACACAAAAGCGTAAGAAACTTGCTGTAGGCAGGTCTGGGATAATCTGTGCTCTACCTGAATCCTGTGTAATCATTAACAGCTTAGAGCTGCGTCTGAGCCCTGAAGCTTGGTGTTTGATACCTCTTCAAAAATGTGTTCTCATTCACATCCATGCATTTAAATACAAATTACTGCTAAAGTTAGGTATGGAACATAAAGGAAGCTTACATCCAACAAATGACATTATCCATGGCCCCCAGAGATGGGCAGAATTTTCTGCTATTTTTGACCAGCCATAAAAACTAAAACATAAAGGCTGAAAAGCTTTCCTCAGCAAGGATAGAAACAAGAAATTAAATTCTGTGCTTGAGGAAATTTGAGCATTTCCCTGAAGAAATGTGAGACAAACCCTTTCTTGGCCTACTGGAGTCCTACCAGGTATTGTTACTGCTTCTGTTCACTGTGAGCCAGAGAAAACAAGAGGGAGTTTGTCCATCAACCTCCACATTCAGTGCATCCAACTCTAATCACATTGGTCACTCACATCTGGAATAGCCATCTTATTAAACCATAGCTAGGTATTAACTTGTCTACCCATGTGTGAAAGGCTTCTTACTCTTGAATCTTATTATGCTGACAAACAACATAAGTTATTTTAAAGTAATTATATTTTTAAAGTAATGTTTGTTTTGTTGGGGTTTTTTTAAGTTACCATTCAAAAATGATTTTAATTTCTTTAAATATGTTAACCTGCAACACTGAGGGAAAGGGAGAGCTGCAGAAATTGTACTTGAGTATTTAATAAATTTATCAGCATTGTAAAGTCAGCCTTTTTATCCAAGAGCTCTGATTATTACCTAATCAATTTAAAAGACACTAATTAATATATTAAAGGGATGTTTGTTTTGCCTATTTTTCCATTAGTCAGAACAATTAATAAACTTATTTAAGATGGCCCCATTTCATTTGGCACTGGTTTGAACTCCCCATATTGGTACAATTACCTTGAGGGATCAGATGTTCTTCAGCAGCCACTCTTGCCATATATGAGACAGCTGGTCCTCTAGCACTGATAAAATTCTTAATTTGATCTGTTGGTTGATTACTTATCTCAATAGGGGAAACTAAATTTAGAATTTATTTGGTCTGAATTTAAACTGATTTTGTCACACAGTTTTAGCGAGAAGGTGAGAAAAGTGGCAATTCCCCAGAAATACCAAGGCTGATTTACCAAGGCCAAAGATGCAGGTGCTTCCTACATGACCTGCACAGGGCAGTGCAGGCAGACCTGAGAGTGACTGACTCCATCTCCTGTTCTGCAGCCCTTTTTCTTGCATCTCCAGTGTTGCAGGTTTATTTTGTTTGAACAAAGTCCCTGGGTGAATTTCCTATTTGCCTCTGTGTGCGTGTTATTTGTGGCAGACACTGTACCTGGTCAGCAGCTCTAGAACTGGAGGCCCTGGACACTTTAAGCTGGGCTTCAGTGGAAAGAGAGATCTGCTTAATTTTGTCCCAGGTGAAGGAGTCCAGCGGTTCCTAGCCTGGACTACTGGAAGGTTTCCACATCCTCTTTGTCACATTAGTTGAGATGACTTGCAGTAGAAGTTGTCCAGTGAGTGTTAAGAACCTATTGAAAGATTTTAGTTTTATAGTGATATTGTTAGGAAAACAAACTCTTTAATTGTTAAAACCAATACATGTGCTGATGCAACATATTTTGTGTTAAACTAGTAGCAGTTGTAGAAAAGCATTAGAAATGCTATCCCATCATCATTCCTGTGGTTTTGAGCTGTGCTAGAAATCACATAATGCTACATCTGGCTTTAGGCATGTTCTTGCATCCCTACCCAGAGCATGAACTGGATACAAGGAAGAGATTGTGAGCAGCATGTATTTTTTCCTAGGAGTGCTATTTAATAAAAAGTGTTTATTTAATAAACTAATAAACATATAAAGTTCAAGTCACTATGTTCATTACCACAATTCTGGACAATATCTTGTTCTTTAGTACCAGCCCTTGATTTTGTGATAGCAGCTCTTTTCTTTGTGTGTTTGCACCAAAAAGATGCAGATTCACCTGAATTCCAAATACTTCCAGTCTTCTGTGAATTGAAGACTATGATTTAACTTTTTATTTGTTTCTCAGCATAGTTCTAAAACCACTGAATGAAATGGGAAAGTAGCAGCAGTTCTGCATTAATTTTAATGTCTAAATACAAGGTATCTTCTGTAAAATAAAAAGGTAGTTTAACATAGGCTGCTCTATTTCACTTGTTCTAACTGTTTGCTAAAACAGGTATTTTACTGGTTCTACTAAAATTTCTAATTGCACTGGTACTTTTTAATATGTTATTTTCATAATGTGCCTCAAAGTGACCCTGCACTGGGCTAGTCCTTGCTTCAGACGAGAAACAGGATGTCGGTGCCCACCAGTGCCACCAGTGAGAAGCTGCCACATCCAGTTTCCAGTGTCCCAGCCTGCGTGGCCCTGGCACAGCCCAAGGTGTGACCATGGCCACTGACGGTCACCCCTGAGCTGCTGGTTCAGTGTTCAGCTAAACCCAGCCCTCGCTGCAGTAATAATACCTGTTTTAAATAATAACACCAGCTTAATTAACACCTGTTTGTGAGGGTTTGTGTTTGGGTTTTTTTTTCATTCATGGGCTCAATGCTTTCACTGCACAACAAGGCTCAATGCATCTTCCAGGGCTTGGTGACTTGAGTTTACTCCCAGCCCCCTTTGACTTACAGGGCACTGAGACCTCACAGGGCTGGGGAATGAGGCTGTAGAGATCCCACAGCTCTTGCATTGCTGTTGCTACCTGTTGGCATCTGGTCAGATTTGGGGCTGCTTGGCATTCCTTGGGTATCAAACACAAAGTCCTGTCTCAAATCTGTCCCATGTTCCTGTGTTCAGGGCTGCAGGGCCAGAGGTAGGAGCACATGTAGTTGCAGCTGATCTCTGCAGAAGCAGTGGTGGAAAGCAGTGACATGTTAACTGTTAGTACATGAAAACAAGAATATAACTGGGGAGTCACATTCCTAAGCAAGCCCAAAACTCATCTCAAATTGGCTTGCTTTGAAAAACCAGAACAACTGGAAAAGCCCAGAATGCAGGTGACCTACAGAGGGCCTTTCAAGGGAAACTGCATTGGCTGCAGATGCAAATGTGTTCCAGGCAGTAGCTGGTCCTGTCCAGACATTTTGGTGTAACAGCTCAAGTTAGCAGGACCTTTCCAGGCCTCTCTTGCTGGGTTACCTCTGCAGAATCTGCAGGAAGAGAAGATAACAACAGTAAAGTGGGACTTGCCCTTTCAAAAGCAAAGAATAGGAAAGCTGGGCAGTTTTTCTGGCATTTCTTCACTGCAGATGATACAAGAGATCTTTTTCCTGAAACAGGCACTTGCATTTTTCTTTTTCAAGAGGTTTTTTGTTGGTTTTTTGTTTGTTTGTTTTTGTTTGGTTTTTTTTCTCCAGACCATTGTAGCAATTGAAATGAGAAACCCTTAAATCTGCTTGCATGAGTGACTCCAGGCAGGTCCCTGAGTGCAGTCAGCCAGCTCAGCTCACCCCCTTGCCCTGTAGAGAAGGAGGGCAGCACCCGGGCTCTGGGCACTTGCAGTGAGCCCCTGCCAGGTGATCCCAGCAGTGCCCTGGGGAGGCTCCCCAGACAGCCACTGCCACCTGCATCAGTGTGCAAGCACAAGGCAAGGCTGAATCTCAGAATCCAGCTTCACCTTTGCACTGGGACCCCCAGCAAGTTGAAAGGGAGCACCTTTCCTAGGGAAAGCCAGGAAGCAGAGAGGGAGTGTAACAGCTCTGACAGCAATAGAAGGATGCCACAGACTGATCTACTGCTTTCCCTCTGGTGGAATTACAATTACTGTAACTATAATTAATAAATTAACATATAATTGCCCGCTTCACCACCTAACAGAAAGAAAGAGCCATCACCTTTATGGTGACCTACTTGTGCAGTCACTGTGCCCAGGGATAAGAACAATAACTCTGTAACTTGAGATAAGCTCATGGGGCTGAAAAACTCTGCCACAAACTGAAAGGAAGCTACTGTACCTTGTACTGCTTTTATCCCACTTGCCCTGTTTGCATGGAGCCATGTTGTTGCACAGAAGCACTTAATCCTTCCCACCTCCCTTCTCTTCCTCTAGTCCTAGTCCTACATGCATGCATGTTTGCACCTTTTTTTTTCTTTTTTTTTTTTGTATGCATAAATTTAGTTTAAACTTAAAAGCAGTTACTTGCTGATTAGGCAGAGCACAAGTTGTCTTTATTTTACCAATTGAAACTGTTGCTGTTATAAAGGGCTCCACTCTTTGAGGCAGCACTAAAACTTCTCTCTTTGATGACATTTATAGCAACTCTGCTGAGCTCTGGGACCACTGCAACAGTGGCTCTGCTCCGGGATGGAATTGAGCTGGTTGTGGCAAGTGTGGGAGACAGTCGTGCTCTGCTGTGCCGGAAAGGAAAGCCCGTGAAACTCACCATTGACCATACTCCAGAGAGAAAGGAGGAGAAGGAAAGGTACCTTGCTGGCTGGCTGGCTGATGATGTGGCTTCCCAGAGCACGGCCTCAGTCAGGATGGACTCCTGATTTGCTGCTGGGTTGGGCCATGGAGAAAGCAGAGTTGAATGTAGAGCCTTAGACCTCTGAGCTGGCAGTAAGCTCCAGTTAATGCACTGGGTCCTGTTTAGAGGACCAGGAATGTGGAAAGACCTCCATGAGCATAAGATCTCAACAGTAAGACCAGCATCACTGAGATTCAGAACAGAGCTATGACCACATGGTTCAGACTTGTCCAAAAGTGGGAAGTTAGAATCAGCTTAGAACCCGAGGAAATGCACTGTGATTCCCAGGTCAGGACTCAGCCCACCAAGACACATCCCTTCCATAGAGCCCTTCAAACAGCTAAAGTCAACCCTCAGCCTCCCAGCTTAGGCTCTCCATACATCATTCCTCATTCTAGCTACTGACAGAAATAAAGGATAGAGATAGGGGCAATGGTGTGAAGCAGTAACTCATTTCCTTTTTTTTTTTTTTTTTTTGTGGACAGGATTAAGAAGTGTGGTGGCTTCATTTCTTGGAACAGTTTGGGACAACCTCATGTGAATGCTAGACTTGCAATGACACGGAGCATAGGAGATTTGGATCTTAAAAACAGTGGTGTGATAGCCCAGCCAGAAACAAAAAGGGTTCAGGTAAAAGAAGGTCTGGTTTACAGGGACAGCAGCACTTGGACTAAGGGCTTCATAGGTGTTTGATGCAGTGGTGGTACCCACACAACAGAAGCTCAGGTGAAGCCTGATGGCCATGCACTGATTTTTACTGGAATAACCAGAGAACAACTCTCATTAAGTTGTTTCAGATTAATACTAACAGGACAGAAAGGAATCTGGTACTAAATTCAACCAGATCAACTTCTAAATCTCACTTCTCACAGCAAAATTTATGGTAAGAGAAGAAAGATAACACATGACATGTGTTACAGGTGTTAGTCTGTTTGGTCCTGTGGTCAAATGAATAATTTTGAGGTTAATGCTGGTACAAAACCACAAAATCACTGAGAACTGGGTGGGATGTGGATGGGCTGCCATCAAAACGTGGGATGTACAGAGATTTGCACAGTAGAGAGGAAGAGGGGGAGGAGGAAAGGACAGCTGCATGTGTCTTACCATAGCTCTGTACTCATCTAGAAAACAAATTAAACACCCAGAAGGTATTCAACCTCCACTTTGGCAGGAAGGTCTCCTGCCAATTCATTGTTTGTTACTTTTCCCCAGTGCACCTCCCAGGGCCCCAAGAACTCCTATTGTTTTGGTCCCAATAAAGTGCCATGCACTAGGGGTTTAGGGAGATGACTGCAGCACTAGCATGTCCTCCTTGAAATCCTCAGCTTCAGGAGGGCACACAGCACCCCAAGAAAAACCACGGGGGCTGTTCCCTTGCCTTGCAGCACTCACCAGGGTGATGCATCCCCTGTGCCTCTGTTGCAGCTGCACCACGCAGACGACAGCTTCCTGGTGCTGACCACCGACGGCATCAACTTCATGGTGAACAGCCAGGAGATCTGCGACTTCATCAGCCAGTGCCACGACCCTGCTGAGGCTGCCCACGTGGTCACTGAGCAGGTGATGCCAGCGCTGCTCTGGGCACCAGGGGCTCCCGGGTGGGCTGTTTGGCTTAAAAAAGCAGTTTTTGTTTACACAATACCACACTTTCAGCTGAATTGAAGGGGCTGGCTGGGACATTCACCAGTCCTGCTGGCCAGCCTTTTCCTTACCCTGGGTCTCGTCACATCCTTGCCAGGCATCACATCAATGACTTGTTTAGCTCGCTGTCCACTGAGCTGCATGGGATTGTAACTGCAGCTTCTGCCTGTGCTGAAAATGTCATTGTCACAGACAGAAATGGCCAGTTTCTGACCTTGGTTCTGGATGGTGGCATATCCTATGGGAAGCTCTGGGGCATATCAGAATGGAGTATCAGGGCTGGGAAGGGGCAAGGGAGTCTCCGGTCTCAGGGTGTGCCGTCCCAGGTGAAGCCAGACACTCGTCTCCCTTTCCAAGTGAGACACTGATGCTGACACTTTGTTTCTTCTCTCAGGCAGTGCAGTTTGGCTCTGAAGACAACAGCACAGTTGTCATAGTGCCATTTGGAGCTTGGGGCAAGTACAAGAACGGGGAGGTCACATTCTCCTTCAGCCGCAGCTTCGCTTCCAGCGGGAGGTGGGCGTGAAGGCAGCGCCACAGCCATCCTTCCCTGCCGTCACCTGGACACAGCGTGCTACAGGAGAACACCTCCATCTGTTCCTAGGCTGACTCAGTGTCTTGTCCATCTCTTCTGTTCCCAGTGTTAGAAGATGCCACTGCTCCCTTGGTGCGTAGTGCCCGTGTTGCTTACGGCTGACCATGTCTCGCTGCCCGCGTTATTCCCGGCGGCATCGGGGCAGCGCCCTGGGTGTGTCGCCCCAGCAGCTCCACACATCACTTTGTTCACACAGACGAGGTTCTGGGCTTTCACCTGAGGCTGGAGGGGGTGCACAGTCATTTCATGCCTACTTGTATTCCTCAGGACCCTCAGCTCCCTGGCAGCTGTGAGTCCCTGAGCCACACACTGACCTCCTTGTCCGATAAAACACAGGGGAACAAACGCACAATGTTCTTAGGTAGACAGAAAGAGGGTTTGCTGTCTTCTTCTGCTGCAGGCACCTGAAACTCCCCTGTGCTCCAGGAGAAGTGGGTGAAAAATAAAGAAGTTTCAGAATGTTTAGGTTCTGATGCCAGTGGCATTTGGTGTAGCTGTACAAGTTCCTGAGACAGTGCTGCTTTGTGCTCTCACTGCCATCATCTGTGATCCTCTAGCTCCAAGGAGACAGACCAGGCTGGAGCCATGTGCTGTTGGACAGATGGGAACCTTTCTCCATTGGGTCCAAAGCCTGTGCAGTCTCTGTGGACCATGCAGCAGCCCCTTGCACTGTCTTCTCTTTGCTGTCAGTGCCTGACAGAAGCACAGAGGAGGGAAAAAGACGCACAGTTTTGATATCCAGAGACTCATCAACTTGAATATCTTTTTTTTTTTTTAAATAAAGAAAATAAGCTAATTTCAAAGAGTTTACTCTTCAAGATCTGATGTGTAAGACAGTTTATTTCTTCATACATACCTGAGGATTTTCCTGCCCTCTGCTGAAGGTGTCTGAGTTAGTTGTGATCTCTCATGTCTCTTCATGGTACACAAGGAGGTATAAAATGCCCCAAAGAACTAGAGAAAGGAGGGAGCATTATAACAATGTAAGGTAATTTTTGTAAGTTTTGGGTATTGTTTCTAGTGCCAGATAGATGTCAGATATTCAGATACCAGAGAAGAATTTTATACTTAAAGGAAGTGTTTCCAATTCCCTTCTTGGAGGGGAATCTGTACTCAGTGAGGCATGGGGGGACCAGAGCTCTGATCCAGCTCATATCACTGCTGTGACATGGACTGCAGTGATGTGTTGGCACAGGTGAAGTTCTGTCCCAGTGTGCCTCATCCACACCTCTTCCTTCCTTCATTCCACGTCAGCTGTCAGCTCCTGTGGCAGTGAAATATGGGCAGAGAAGAATTGGTCTTTTCTTGCCACAGTGTTTTTCCTTCTATGGATGCTTCCAATAGCACAATTGAAAAAAAAAACAAAATGAAAGAGAAGTTGCCTAGTACTAAATCACCTGGTAAAAAAAAGGAAAAAAATTCTGAGGTGCCTGGACTGATTCTGATTTTCCAGTGTGAAATACATCTCTTCATTTCCTTTAGTCCAGGGTTACCCCTTAGGCAGTGAGTCCATTAGTGCTCCCTTGTCTGTGGAGGAAGGGCCAGCAGCAGCCAGCAGAGCACCGTGTTGTGCTGACAGCATTAAGTACTGAGTGTGCAGAGTGCCCTGGTTTTGTCTGTGCCATCACTTGTGTGTCACGTGGTGTGCACAATGTACTTATCTGGGTTGTAACTGCAGTGCTCTTTGTAAATCTCTGCTGTACTGGATGCTGGTGCCCAGGCCTGTGTGCTGAGCACACCACTGGTTAACAATCCTCATTCCCTCTCTCTCCTCAGATTTTGCTCAGGGTTGGGGTTCAGTGTTCACCTGAGGTCAGGAAGGTTGCTGTTTGGGGTTTTTATTTCTCCAAACAGCATAGCTGTCTTCTCAGGGGAAGGATCCATCCATAATTTCTTTGAAATTTTACCAAGGAAGGGCCAAGACAAAGCTCTGTGAAACAGAGGATTATTAGATTCAGGTGTATTGGTGTTATTGCTGCTTCTCTACTGTTGCAGAAACTCTTGGATTGGGAAGGACTCCTGGGCACCATCTCATCTCCAGTTCTTTCTATTGGACCCATTGTTTTCTTTGAACAGTTCCTTTTTCACTCCTGGGGCAATTCCTGCAGTTGCTGCTGTTGTTTGAGTCCTGCCTCAAGCCCAGCCCTCTCAGAACTGAGGCTGGGCAGGCACAGGCCGGGCTCCAGTGTGGGGCAGAAGCTGCTGGTTTGCCCTGGGCTGGCAAGGCACCCCTCCATCAGGTGACACAGGGTCTGCCAGGGTTGGTGCCATTCAAGGGAAAAGTCCCAGGCTCTGGGTGGTGATACCTGTGCTAGGAACCTGCCCAAATCCTGCCACACTCCCTGCCAGCCAGGGAACAGCCACCTCAGGGTGCATTTCTGTATTGCCTCAGCCAGAAATCTCCTCTTATCCTGTGAGCTCAGCAGATTCCACCAACCCCATTATGTGCCAGCAGCGTCAGCAGCATTAGCAGCTCATGTAAACATGAACAGGGACCCCTGACCCTGCACAATCATCCACACCAATCCAGAGCAGGGACAGGGAGATGTGTTCCCTCATCCTCTTGTGGAGACAAGACAGCTCCCACAGCTCAGCAAGGCCATCCATGGCAGGACACAGCCCAGAGCCATTGTTTGTACCAGCACATTCCCAGCTTCAGCCTTATAAAGGATGGGCAGTGCAGGCAGCGAACTCCCTGACTCCCACGCACAGGCCGGGCTCCAGTGTGGGGCAGAAGCTGCTGGTTTGCCCTGGGCTGGCAAGGCACCCCTCCATCAGGTGACACAGGGTTTGCCAGGGTTGGTGCCATTCAAGGGAAAAGTCCCAGGCTCTGGGTGGTGATACCTGTGCTAGGAACCTGCCCAAATCCTGCCACACTCCCTGCCAGCCAGGGAACAGCCACCTCAGGGTGCATTTCTGTATTGCCTCAGCCAGAAATCTCCTCTTATCCTGTGAGCTCAGCAGATTCCACCAACCCCATTATGTGCCAGCAGCGTCAGCAGCATTAGCAGCTCATGTAAACATGAACAGGGACCCCTGACCCTGCACAATCATCCACACCAATCCAGAGCAGGGACAGGGAGATGTGTTCCCTCATCCTCTTGTGGAGACAAGACAGCTCCCACAGCTCAGCAAGGCCATCCATGGCAGGACACAGCCCAGAGCCATTGTTTGTACCAGCACATTCCCAGCTTCAGCCTTATAAAGGATGGGCAGTGCAGGCAGCAAACTCCCAGCCTCCCAGGGAGGCTGCTGCTGCTGCAGCAGTGACACACTGGATACAGAGCTGCCATTGTCCACGTCCCATGCTGGGTGCCAAAAAGGACCACGGAAGATGAACCTAGGCTGAACATCAGCTGCCCACCAAGCTGCACTTATCACTGCCCTCCACAGCAGAGTAGGGGCAGAGGACAGAAAATAAAATGGAAAAAAACCCCAAACCTGGTCAAGATAAAGATAATTAATAAAGAGTGTCACCAGTCCCTTTTCAGGTGCCAATAGAGAGCCCAGAACTGTGAGGATGCTGTGGGCAGATGAGCTCCATCCCAGCCAGGCCTAATAAACACTTCAGGTTTTCCATCTGGCCACGAGGCCTCCTGCAGCCCATGGCAGCTCTGCAAGCAACCAGCTCCACCGTGCCCCACCAGGGACTGGCAAGATCCTCCTGCACAGCAGAGCTCCTTCAGCTTGAGGACAAAGAGCAAATTGTTCTAAAACAACAGCTGCCTGCCAGAGAGGTTTATTATTCCAGGACAGTGAAGGATCTCACACTTTGAATGAAACAAAATGGAATGTTTGCTCTCTAGCTCACTGTCTTTCCATGCATCTGAGGTTACACCAAAAAGAGTAATTTTTGTTTATGACAGACTGAAACAAACGTTAGGGGTCACCTGCTGAGCAAACTGTAAAACATGTTTGCTTTTTTCTACATTTTGGGTGGATTCTGAAATCCATTTGATTTGGTAAGAATATTTTCCTGCCTGAACATGCCCCCTGCAGCAGTGGAATCTCCCTCTGTACAGGCACTGCAGGTGGGTGGGCTGTGGGTGCAGAAAGGCAAAAATGCTGTCCAGCTAAGCATTCATTTTTACTGTGAGGATATGGCAGGCATGGGGGTGGCCTCATGTTGCTGGAGGATTTACTAGGAGAGGTGTTGAGACTGCAGATGGATTTCCAACTTAAGTCTCTCCCTGCCACTTGCAAAGATGGGGGTTTCATGCTTTATAGAGGGAACTCCCAAAAAAGTAATTTGCAGCCTGCATTTAGGAGAGCTGGTCTCTCTGGATGATGAACATAGCACAAGAGCCTGAAATGGGGCAGAGATCCAGTAATTAATTTAATATAGGCCTTCATTACACTTAGTCCCTTTGGGCTGAAATGCTCAGGGCTGGAGAATAATCCTGGAGCAGCTGAAAATGGGGGTGTGGAGAGAAATAAGCAATATCACTGTTTTTTATATATTTGAAAATTGAAAGGAGCTTAGACTCACCACAGGATTTCTGCTGAGTTCCCCGTGGTCAGGGTTCCATGAGCCACATTTTCTGTCTCAGCTGGTGGATGTGCTGTGGTCAAAGACATTGGGATTTTTAGCTAAGGGAGAAACACAAAACAACAGCTATCAGTGAAACTGGTTTAATAATAATTTCTCTTAAAAACCTTGAGTTGGGCACTGCCAGGTCATTGCTCACTCACCCAAGAAGTCAAATGTTCAGTACAACACCACTCTGGGCATTCCTTGGTTCCAAACTGCTGTTCTGAATGCAGAGATACCCATCAGGTGCCCTCCTGACCCGGGGTATGAAGTGCTTGGGCAGTGGGGCCTGCCATAACTTTCTTACAGACTTAAGTGCAATTGTGTGCATTTATTACATGCTTTGCCTTGGGGCTGTGTGTAATTTCTGTGGTTTGATGTAATCAGTGTTCAAATTCCATCTACTGTGAAATTTTATAGTGGAGCCCATCTTGCCTTTTTTTTTTTTTAATGTTTTTTCATCTTCATCAACTCAAAGCTACAGTAGAGCAGCTAAGTCTGTATTGGATGCTTACAAGAGCTTTCAATAAAGGATTGGCTTCCAGCAGCTGTCTCACTACAAATGGATTTTTCTTCTTCCACCGCATTGCCAGCTACCAGAAAAGCTGCAGCTTCTCAAGTGTATTATATATAAAATTATATATAAAATAACATCTGTCCTGTTAGCCCTGGGCCTCAGTCCTTGCCATAAAGAGCTCCTGATAACCAAGGCTTTGGCTACAAGGACGCTCTCCCAGCGATAACCAGGGCAAAGCACCTCCTGTCTCTGGGCTGTGCTGCACCACGGTGTCACGTTCTAACTTGCTATTTCTGTCTGCCTGGCTGGCTGTCATGGTGAGCAATGCCAGCCTGTGACACAGGGCAAAGAAACAAATTTGGCCTCTGCAGGAAAGTGTAGTTTTGCTGCTGCCTGAATTCAAAGCTGCTCCATTACACTTGAAGAAACCACAAAGAAAAAGTAAGAGCTGAGGGTTTTAACTCAGTGGCAGAAGTAACCCTGAGATCCTGGTATTTTTAGTTAATACAGCTTTTCACAGCTGGGCTCAAACCTATTTTACTTTCTCTCCCTTGAAGGCAGCAGCCTTGAATTCAATGAGGTCTTAGTTTCCTACAGCTGAGCTCCAGCACTTCTTTTCAGGAGCAGAGTCCTTTTTTGCTTTCCTTTGTTGCCAATCCACATCTCAGCTCAGTTTGGAGCTGATCAGCTCTTGGATATGTGCCCATATCCCATGGTGGTCTTGTAATCACTGCTCACATGGGTAAATTTGGAGAGCTTGGGTGGCATGTTG